GCTGAGGAAAGAGAAGCTCGCCTGGGAAAGCGTGGAGAAGTATGGAAAAAAAAGACTGCTGAAGCGAAAGGTATTAAAGCAAAGGCTTGTCTTCACAACGCTATGTACCAATGATACTGTAGCTATACAAGTTTAAGTATGATATTCGACCCTCTATATTCGACTATTTCTTCACAATTTTCCAATAAAGAGTTTATCATGACACGCTCAAGTCAGTATAACCAGACTGTATTTTATTTATATCAGTTATCACAGCCACAGCCCACAGGCAATTTTATGCTGTCAAATACCGTCGGTGGCAACTAAGGGTGAACAGTTGCAGATAAAACATTCTCTATTCTCATTAAAAAGCCTGTAAAAGTTTCCAGTAGGTCTCTAGCCCAACAAGTTCAGACAAAGTTTTGTTACTTATTTTTATTGCACACATGGGAAACAACAATTAATTAAGTGTTGTTGTTCTTGACAAACATTGAAGATTCTAATCACGCGAATGTTTTTATGAGCGACTGTTCATCGTTAGTTGCAAACGACGGTACAACATACTATGAACATTTTTCCGACTGTGACCGAATGTGCAACGATATATTTTTCAAAGTTGTTAACAATTCCTAAAATTTGTTTATAGTAAAACAGCCTGCTCAGCACTCACTACTCACGATGATTTCATTTAGAAATGCAGTTACCAGGAAAGGAACTGATTCTAAAATATGTAAAATTAAAAGCATTGGCTATTACGATGTGAAGACAAGGTACAAACTTTTATAGTTGCTATTTGTTATAAATCCTATAAATAAACCGATTCAACAATACTTTTGCCTCGAATTTGCATATTCTATGCTGCATGTTTATATTTTATTTTTATAGTATAAAAATAAAATTGTAATAGTATGAAATAAAATACATTTCTGTTTATTGACCAGTACTTATTTAATGTCTTCTTCATCCAGCGGTCAGAGTAAATTTCTACTTCTAGCAAGTAAATATTTCACAAGCAGTCTGGAATAAGCACAGGACTTTTAATGCATCAGCCAAATCCAAGTGTGCCCATCCCCCTCGCCCAGCCATTTTCCTGTAAAGCACATCCCGGGGATTGGGCATTTCCACTCGAACCTTAGCCCCGGCGGGCCGGCATTTGAAATTAATTTCGATTCTTGCACTTCACTTGTGGAATTAATATTAGAATGTTAGGGTTTGTAATCCAGGTGAGAATATATACATGTATATATTTTGTAATCCAAGTGAGAATATTTTGTAATCCAAGTGAGAATATACAAATGTACCGGTATAGTACATGTATATATTTGGTGTATATATTTTGTAATCCAAATGAGAATAGTTTGTAATCCAAGTGAGAATATGCAAATGTATATATTCTCACTTGGATTACAAACCCTAACATTCTAATTTTAAGTCCACCAAGTGAAGTGCAAGAATCCAAATTATTGAAGTCCACCTTATCACAACCCGCACACCCGATTACCTAAATATACATGAACTTACGGTTAAAGCTCGACAGCTGGTCTCTTGTAGCTCAGTTGGTTAGAGCGCTGCACCAGAATCGCAGGGCAGTAGGTTCAATTCCTACCAGAGGACCTTGTGCTGCATTTTTCGCAGTCGTTCCTTGTTAGGTCTTAAAATGTATATATTCTCACTTGGATTACAAACCCTAACATTCAAATATTAATCCCAACAAGTGAAGTGCAAGAATCCAAATTATTGAAGTCCACCTTATCATAACCCGCACACCCGATTACCTAAATATACATGAACTTATGGTTAAAGCTCAACAGCTGGCCGAGCTGTAGCTCAGTTGGTTAGAGCGCTGCACCGGAATCGCAGGGCCGTAGGTTCAATTCCTACCAGAGGACCTTGTGCTGCATTTTTCGCAGTCGATCCTGGTTAGGTCTTAAAATGTATATGTTCTCACTTGGATTACAAACCCTAACATTCTAATATTAAGTCCACCAAGTGAAGTGCAAGAATCCAAATTATTGAAGTCCACCTTATCATAATCCGCACACCCGATTACTTAAATATACATGAACTTACGGTTAAAGCTCAACAGCTGGCCTCTGTAACTCAGTTGGTTAGAGCGCTGCACTGGAATCGCAGGGCAGTAGGTTCAATTCCTACCAGAGGACCTTGTGCTGCATTTTTCGCAGTCGTTCCTGGTTAGGTCTTAAAATGTATATATTCTCACTTGGATTACAAACCCTAACATTCTAATATTAAGTCCACCAAGTGAAGTGCAAGAATCCAAATTATTGAAGTCCACCTTATCATAACCCGCACACCTGCATGATTACTTAAATATACATGAACTTACGGTTAAAGCTCAACAGCTGGCCTCTGTAGCTCAGTTGGTTAGAGCGCTGCACCGGAATCGCAGGGCCGTAGGTTCAATTCCTACCAGAGGACCTTGTGCTGCATTTTTTGCAGTCGATCCTGGTTAGGTCTTAAAATGTATATTTTCTCACTTGGATTACAAACCCTAACATTCTAATATTAAGTCCACCAAGTGAAGTGCAAGAATCCAAATTATTGAAGTCCACCTTATCATAACCCGCACACCCGATTACTTAAATATACATGAACTTACAGTTAAAGCTCAACAGCTGGCCTCTGTAGCTCAGTTGGTTAGAGCGCTGCACCGGAATCGCAGGGCAGTAGGTTCAATTCCTACCAGAGGACCTTGTGCTGCATTTTTCGCAGTCGTTCCTGGTTAGGTCTGAAAATGTATATATTCTCACTTGGATTACAAACCCTAACATTCTAATATTAAGTCCACCAAGTGAAGTGCAAGAATCCAAATTATTGAAGTCCACTTTATCATAACCCACACACCCGATTACTTAAATATACATGAACTTACGGTTAAAGCTCAACAGCTGGCCTCTGTAGCTCAGTTGGTTAGAGCGCTGCACCGGAATCACAGGGCCGTAGGTTCAATTCCTACCAGAGGACCATGTGCTGCATTTTTCGCAGTCGTTGCTGGTTAGGTCTTAAAATGTATATATTCTCACTTGGATTACAAACCCTAACATTCTAATATTAATTCCACCAAGTGAAGTGCAAGAATCCAAATTATTGAAGTCCACCTTATCATAACCCACACACCCGATTACTTAAATATACATGAACTTACGGTTAAAGCTCAACAGCTGGCCTCTGTAGCTCAGTTGGTTAGAGCGCTGCACCGGAATCGCAGGGCCGTAGGTTCAATTCCTACCAGAGGACCTTGTGCTGCATTTTTCGCAGTCGATCCTGGTTAGGTCTTAAAATGTATATTTTCTCACTTGGATTACAAACCCTAACATTCAAATATTAATCCCAACGGGTGAAGTGCAAGAATCCAAATGATTGAAGTCCACCTTATCATAACCCGCACACCCGATTACTTAAATATACATGAACTTACGGTTAAAGCTCAACAGCTGGCCTCTGTAGCTCAGTTGGTTAGAGCGCTGCACCGGAATCGCAGGGCCGTAGGTTCAATTCCTACCAGAGGACCTTGTGCTGCATTTTTCGCAGTCGTTCCTGGTTAGGTCTTAAAATGTATATATTCTCACTTAAAATGTATATATTACAAACCCTAACATTCTAACCCTAACATTCTAACATTTGAAATTAAGGATTTGGAGGTTTTGCGACCACCGACAACTTGATAATTTTATAAAACAAAACACTTCTATCTCCAACTTTTACAATCACTGATAAATTGATAATAATTTAAACCAGTCTAGCTGTAGTTTATATAGAGAATAATACATGGGTGCACGAAATACCAGATTTATTTCGAGTGTTGAACATGAGTGTGCAGCGAACAAGTGAGCGCAGCAAACGAGTGAGATGTCATGTTCAACACAAAAAATAAATCTGGTATTTCCAACCACCCATGTATTTTTCTGTTTATTATATAAAGGACAGTCTTAAATGAAAAGCGATAATGTTTACAGAAAAGCGATAATTGAAAGGCGATAAATTTTTACATGTGAGATTATCATGAATAATTTCACATCTGAGATTATCATTTTTATCAGTGCTCGAAAACTCTGTAAAACACTAATTTTATATAATAAAAATTCATAAATTTGAACCATGCTAGAGCATGACAACAGCAAAATGCTCTATAGTATGATGCACAATATTTTGGGAGGTGATCGAAATACACGAACAATAAATCAGAGAGTGTTTGCTTGGAACTCACTGGGGGGGGGGGGGGGGGTGCAACACCCCTGATTATTGCTCATGATGAATTTCAGGTAGATTTCCTGTGCACTTTTAGTACGTACATTTAAGTAGATTTGCAGAAGATTTTCAGGGGAATTCAGGTAATTCTCAGGACATGACTGAGAAAGTGAATTTGGAAAACAACTGTATTAAATTTCGGAAAAATTATTATATGTCCTGAAAAATTTTTGTACATCTGGAAACTTTTTGGTAACCCCCCCTCTATCTAACCACACCCACACCCTGCGACGAAGTGCTCGCAACGGCACTGAGTATATATCTTTTGAAAACAGGCGAGGGGTTATTGCATGCATGTATTTCTAGTTATTATTATTATTACAATATTTCAGTAGGAAGCTACACTCACAACAAGGTGATTTTCAGGCAGGTCCTACGATATCAATTAAAATACAAATAAAACTACATTATAATAGCATATATAAAAAAGTATGTTGAAAATTATATCAGCATAAAATCGTATATAGAGTTCTTAAAAGAAGTCAAATTGTTCGATTATCTTTGGTCTAAATTAATATAGAGTTCTTATATAGAGTTCTTAAAAGAAGTCAAATTGTTCGATTGTCTTTGGTCTAAATTAAGGTTATTCCAATCAACGACTGCTTGATATATATAGCGTTGTTTTCCCCAGTTAGTACGCGAGCGTGGAAGATGTAAATCCTGACGGCGGCGTGTGTTGTGGGAGTGAATTTCAACGTTTTGAACTAGGTTGAATTGATATTTTATATACTTATTTATACATTTATAAATACCAATACAACGATGTTGGCGTCGACGTTCTGATAGAGGCATCCAGTTTAGCTGTGCGAGGGCTTCGGTACCGGAAAAGTATTTGGGATAATCCAGTATAGTTCTTGCTGCGTTATTTTGCAAAACCTGGAGATTATGCATTAGGACTTTATTGTTCTTGTCCCCCCACACAATATCTGCATAATCAAATAACGGTAAAATGAGACTGTTATATATCGCCAAACGACCATGTAGAGGCAGCAAATACTTAACACGACGCAGAACTCCAAGTCGTTGGCTGACTTTTTTGCTAAGGGCATCAATCTGGTCCGACCAAGACATATTTTGATTAAGTTTAATGCCAAGGTATTTGAAGGTGTCTCTACGTTCCAAGTTATATGCGTTGATCTCTAATGAAAACTCACGGAATGAATTGAGTTTACGCGTGCTGCCGAAGATTACAAATTTGCTTTTCTCAGCGTTCAAAGTTAAAAGATTGTCATTTAAATATCTGCGAAGGATTTCAAGGTCAGCATTCAAATTTTCCTCAAGTTCCGACAACGTAGAGGAAGAGAAATAAAGAACCGTGTCATCTGCATACATAGTCACTTTACACTTCTTAATACAAGACGGCAAGTCGTTCACGTAAAGGATAAATAGGAGTGGTACAAGGACACTCCCTTGTGGAACTCCAACTGAGACATACTTTGCAGAAGAGGTAGCATTATCCACTCTTGTTACCTGTATTCTCTGATATAGGTATGATTTGAACCATGTTATAGTGGCATCAGTAAATCCAGCCTTCGATAATTTTGAAAATAGTATAGAATGGTTCACCGTGTCAAAGGCCTTTGATAGGTCCAAAAAGACTGCTCCAGTGACAGCGCCTTTGTCCATATTATCAAGAATCGAGTCAGTAAAATGTATCAAAGCGACTTCGGTTGATAGATTTGGTCTGAAACCAAATTGCACTGGCGATAGAATCTTTTCATCCACAAGGTATTTGTAAACTTGGTGATGTGCAACCTTCTCTAAGACTTTGCTGACCGTGGGTAGAATAGTGATCGGTCTATAATTTCCAGAATCGCATCTGTCTCCAGATTTAAATAGAGCAGTGACTTTACCAAATTTCCAGATCGACGGGAATTTCGACGACTCCAATGACCTATTGAACAACTTTGTTAAAACTGGTGCTATTAATGAGGCAGAGTCCTTTAGAAGACGCGCGCTAATCTTGTCAAGTCCTATGGCTTTGTTGGTCTTTAGCCGGTTTAATTCTGTACGGACAAACGCTTTTTCTACAGGTTGGAAGTTGAAACCACTAACAGGATTAGCATCAACAGTCAAAGAAGGGTTTTTCCAGATGTAATTTAGACCAGGAGTTATCTTAGCAGCGAGTTTCGATCCAATAGAAGAAAAATAATCATTCAGGACTTCAGCAATGGATTGTGAGTCTGTGTAGGTTACGCCGTCCGCTTCAATACAAGTGACTGGCGATGTGGATTTACGTGATGTAATTTCATTGAGTATTTTCCATAGTCCACTAGAATTGCTTTTGTTTTTGTTAATTAATTCGAGATAATAATCGGCTTTACTCTTCTTAACTTGTTTGGTAACAAGGCATTTTAATTTTTTGTACATGTTCCAGTGAAATTCAGAGTTACTTTTAATAGCCTTTCTATGATGGTAATCACGATCTCGCATCGCGTCTTTAAGTTTAGCCGTCAACCAGGGTGTTTTGGTTCCTTTGATGCGGCTCCTTTTAATAGGTGCATGTTTATCAGCAACATCAGAAAAGAGTGTATTCCATGTTTCGACAGCAGCATCTAGATCTTGAGTTTCGTCTATTATATCCCAGTCAATTGACTTAAGATCTTGAATAAAAGAGTTCTTGTCAAAAGTGCGGTAAGAGCGATATTCAATTGTTTTTGGAGGAGTTTTGGGAACACCAGATTTTATAGTGCAATAAACAATAGAGTGGTCGCTAATTGCCGAGTGAATGACTCCGCTTTCAACAACACGATGACTATTATTGACAAAAACTAAATCAATCAGAGTTCTCGTCTGGTTACAAATTCTAGTGGGAGTTTTGATCAATTGTTCAAAATCATTCAGGTTTGCAAATCTTTGTAACTTCTGCTTCGCTTTATACGCGGCAGTATTCTTCTCGGCTGAGAAATCGGCATTAAAATCTCCCAGAATTATAACTTCAGTTTCAGCAGGCAATTTTGAAAGAGATGTGTTAAAATAGTCAATCAAGGAG